GCGCGGTTTCTAAAGATTTTATTCTAGTCCGACCGTAATTTCCTTTATTCTCGTATTCGGCGTTACAAGAATTGCGTGTCTGCGCGGCGTATACGCGTAATAACTGCACCGCGGATTTTGAGACCGCGAAGGCGGAGAAATGAATGTTTCATTTCTCTTTCTCACAATTGGCTGGGCATATTTCTATTTTGCATGAAAGTCCGCAGTATGGTAGCAAAAAACTGCCCCGGACGCTACGTTCGTTTCTAGCGAAACATGAGCATAAACGTGAACCTTAGCGTGTAGAACTTTAGTGCACATTTATGATTTCGGAAGGAATGAAGCGTTTTATAAACGAAGAGTTACTCAGAATTTGAAATCATCGTGCATTTTACTTTCGACGAAGAATGTGCCAAGAGAATTTCCGACAACCGGGGTTCTTAAGATACTTATCGTAACATAGCTGTACTTAATACAGCTCGATGTGCAAATTCTCATTTTCATACGTCACTTTGCAAATAGTAGAATTCAAGAAATATTTCCTTCGTCGACTGAAAGACTATTTACTGTCGAAGGCAAATAAAACCGCTATTTCACCTTGCTAATTTATACATTTTTCTTGCATTTTGCAGTCTACTTATCAATGAACTGCGACACTTTATAATCATTACATCCAATTTTTAACAATCACTTTCTTTAATATTCGTACCGCCCCATTTTCCATATACAATAAATGCATAAAGATTCGCAGTCTACTAATTACACATAATATAGTACTATTTTAAAAAACGAAATTGCTAAGAAAATATCGAACAGCAAAGGTTCTTAAGAATCTATCTGATTGATAATTCTCACGATTTAGAGGGGGGAACGTGTCAAGGAAATATTGAATTGCAATATTGAATCGAAACGCAAGAATCAATGATAGGAGCAGAAATAGTTCACGAACCATTTATTCGAAAGCGTTCGGCGCACCCCGCAGATTAGGCGGGCGCATAGCAGCAAGTCAGAGAAAGTCTGAAAGGTTTAACGACTGTTTCGTTATATTTATGCGCGACGATAATGGTAAAGCACGAGAAAGGAACTTTAATGGACGGGGAATGCAACGCGGTCCACGGGGATGGGTCACCACGCAACAATGCAACAGAAAGAAAAAGGGGCTCGGTGACCCTCGCCGGCGTTCATTCGTGCGCCGTGTGACGAACCATCCGAGGAAAAAAAGGAGACGAATCCACCAGACCAGTCGATTTACAAGAGAAACGAGAAAAGGTCAGCCACTTGATATTTATCTTCGACGCGTCTATACGTCGTTCTCGCCACCCAATGGCGAGCCGTATATTTTCCTCGAGAAACTCGCTTGGTAATCGTGAAAACTTCTCTATCACGAAACTCGGGAAGCGTCCAGACGCATCCGCGACGTTAGGAAATACTTCGCAGTCCACTAAATGTCTGAATGCTGCCGTTCGAAATAGTTACTGCACTCTAGGAAATTAGAATTGTGAAATAATGTGTGCAAGGAGCACACACGCTGCACTTCCACGGGTTGTGCAAGGGTTAACAACCGAGCGTAATTTTTATTAAACCACTGTATACTAAGTGAGAGTCACTCGAAGATTGTAATAAATGTTTCTCTATACACCGGATAATTGTGGAAAATAAGTAACTACCAATTTCTCCAGAAGCTTCATTATTGGATTACGGATTCTCGAGGTACGCTAACCCTTTGCACTCGAGCGGCGATTCTGTGGCACCGCTAAAAATTGTTGCATCATGTACCAGAATAATGTTTACGTTATCAAATTTATTTATATTAAACCACTTTATTTATAAAACTATTTTGGATTTATAGCTAAAACGGCTTCGAGTGCAAACGATTAACAAACGGTAAGAAATTTGTTGATCGATAAATCGAGTCTTGTAAAATAATTTATGAAAAACACTTGACCAAAACCCGAACTATTTAGCAGCTATTTCTGTTAAATCCGGCAAGACGAGCAACGCTGGTGGAATCCGGAAGAATTAACACGGGCCGAACCATGGCTGTGATGAGAAGAAGGCCAAAAGCATCGGCTTTGCGAAGGTTAAATTTATTTCGCAAAGTTCTCCAAGGACTCTCGGGTCCGCTGACCCGAAGGCCGCGCAATTGCTGAGAGCTCGTAGCATTTGTCCGTTCCATTGTAAGTAATCCTTGCTCATCTGCTACCCGGAAAGATTTACACGGTCCTCTATAAAGATCCGCGGTCGGAAAGGGAGCATTGTCGCGGCGACACTTTCTCCGGCGGACGCCATTCGCCATTGTGACTGCAAAAGCATCCCGGAGGGCAGGCGCGTACCCCGGGGCCCTTGTAAGTCATAGCCGGTCCCCGAACAATGACAAATAAATTTCCGAAGGAAGTTACGACTAGCGCGGCTTTCTCGGAACGAGTTACGCTGAGTCTACTATCCGTCGCGAAAGTGAAACGGTCCAGTGAAACGGTACCCCGTGTCCCGTGCCGTTTCCCTCCCGCCCTCTCGCGACGTCCGCGGCCATTTATAAATTACAACCGGTGAGCGAGCAGAGGCACGCTTGTAGAAGCGAAGGGACAGCAAAAAGAACAAGAGCGCCGAGCGAGTCGAGTCGAGTCGAGTCGACGCGACGCGACGGAACCGGACTGAGCACACAGAGTAAAAGGGAACCTGGTGGAGCGAGGCGACGGGTCGAGATAGAGATGATCCCGAAGAAACGGAGACCGGGGAACGTCTTCGAGGACTCCCTGAGCCGGATCATAAATGAGCGATCGAAACGGAAAAGGGAGAACAGTCCAAGTCTTCTTCCTTCCTTTCTTTCTTTCTTCGGACGGGGCAAGGGCAATTTGCGCGAGGCGTTCGAACAGGTATCCGAACACGACGAGGCCGGTGCAATTTCACGGAAAGCGCACCGGGAATACAAAGCCGGCGCAACGGAGCCTGACTTTTTCAGGTAACGTTTCCCTGGGTCCCATTCGCCCCCCGAGGATCGTCGACAGGCTCCCCTGGAGGCCAGGTTATTGTTAGCCCGAAAGCCGACTCCCCGCGTAAGGTGCACCTAGGCGCCTGTACAGGTGCAAGACGATCGTTTGCACAGGTGTCCCCGGGGCTTTGCTTAGGCACCGCGCTCTCGCCCAAGCCTTTCGTTTTTCGGTCGTTCTTCTGCCGTGCACACATTCCCGGCGAAGAGATTACGCGGAATAGTACGGCCCGGATCCCACGGGCTGGCTAATTGGTATTTGCACCGATTTTGGAACGCTAAGCAAACGTGTCAGCCAAGCAGTACTAGAGGAGTATATACTGCTGGAAGATTGGTGGAATAGAGGCTGGGCAGTTTTTTTTTTAGCAAAATGGCTAGGTAATGGTAGTGGCCTAATGTGTGGGATGGCGTGCAGTTAGGTGATGATAGAAGTCGTTGAAGTTGTAAGTGTTTTACATGTCCTATTTGAATGAGAAAATGTGATCTACTTGATGGAAAAATTAGTCGGTAACTAAGATGTATGGTTTCACAATGGGTAATATATACCGCAGGAAGCAAACTGTATGAAGATTTGTTGATAGAAACTTATACTTCGATGTATAATTGCAGACTGTATGCATTCGAAGCAAGAATTAGCAGGTGAAATACAAAACTCTAGTTACATTAATCCATTTGTAAGAAAAGCGCGAGTGGTGAAAGGGTACTCGATTTATTACTTTTTATTGGTTCATTGAAATTATAAGAACTTCGGAGGAACAAATTTATGCATGATGATGGATTGCGTTGAAGATGTGTGAAATATTTAGGCAGCTAATGGGGAAGTGTCTAACTTATTCAGGCTTCTTGGTAAACTAAGGGGGCGAGCAAATTATAAGAAAATGGGATACCTTGTATCAGCAATAGCCTCAAGTCAGATGCCAAAGTTTATATTCCCCAGACTAACTATTAAATTAAGTTAGATTTTCCAAATATAAAAACATTAGGAACCAACCATTAACATACTCAAATATAAATGAAACTGCTACTAAAAGAATCCTTGCAACAAGATTTCATAATTTGAGCAAAAGGTTATTTTATAAAATTTTGTTCGCAAACTAATCTTTTATCCTTATCAAACCCAACACAAAAGACTAAATGCAAATAAACAATTCCTTCGTGTTTTCACTTACTGGACTCCAAGAAATAATTCTACCCATTGTGTCCTGAGAAGCACCCACCGGAAGTTCCTGCGTCCATAGTACTACTACTCGACTCGACACAATTTTTTTTCCAACGTTCCAACCATCCGAATCGCATGAAAACTCTGGGCAAACCACAAACCCGCCGCATGAAAAATCCGGAAATTACAGGAGCATCCGGCAGATTTAGCGATTTGAATATCTGGTATCGCAACAATCAATTACAATCAGATTTCCTTGGTCTCTGTGTCGCGTACCTGCGCGCACCTAGCAGAGAGTGACTCATTGATAGATTACGCATACGATACGATCTCTTTCACTTACGTTATCGCGTTTCGCGTTTTGTCATAGCGTCTGACGCCGGAGGATGATGAACCTCCCCCACCTCTTCCGTGGACAACGCAGGTGCACCGAAAACCTATTCAACGGACAGCGCGGACAAAAGTCACGCGATCGGGAACGACAGGATGACGGTTGGAAGGTGTAGAAGCACGTCGCGGGAACGAAAATGGCACCGCGGCGTCCTCTCGGTGTTGAGCGGCGCGCCGTTTGAATTTTCGGACGCGGGCCCGCCGGTCGACGACGGTTACGCACGGATAAACGAACAAGAAAGAAAGATTTTCGATCGTGTCCGTGTGGAATGCCGGGGTCAGCTTGCACCCGGCCCGACATTTCGGTGGAATTCCACGGCAGTGCGCGCTGGTTAACCACCTGCTGAGCGATCGCGTGCCAACGCGAATACCGGGCGTCCCTGGTCCCGGGGAAAGCGCAAGAACGTTCGTGGGAACGTGCACGTGACCCGCCGTTAACGTGCCCCCGGGACGGTGTTCGAATATATTTGAAAATACGTCACTCACCGATCGACGGGAACAATAGGAGGAGGGCGATGGTCGCAGCAGCCGTGTGCCCGTGGGCTGCCATCGTGACAGTGAGAGATCCTCTTCTTTACACTGGTCGCGAACGGTTCTCGAGTCAATCGTTTTTCGGGCGATTAGATCTTTCTCGAATGATTTTGCACAGATTCGTATATCTATTATCTAGTCACTGGCACACTGCACTCGTCGTTTACTCAGTCGTAATCGATGCAAACGGCGGAATTTAAATGTTACAAGGCATCGGATCCGTTACCATTAAATGACTCTCGCCGCACGTCGTAACGTCACGCTAGCCGATTTCGGACTGTGGCGGGGAGCAGCTCGTACGAGCTCGGCTCGGCCTTCGGACGCGCTCGGCGCTGCTCGGCCGACACCGGTGAACCATTCGGCACGCAGGTACGACCGAGGCAGCGAGTGGGAAAAGACACGATCTCGCGGGGAACCACGAGATCAACCGATTCTTACTGCCGGTTCCTCTTCCCTTTTCTCTGTTCTTTTTGCACACCGTGTTTTAAAAGCGTATCCGCGCATTTTTATGCCCTGCCACTGGAATACGACGGCGTTCCTTCCTTCCAGCCTCCGCTGTTTATCGCTGCGAGCTGCTCCACGGAGTACGTATAATACTGCGCGTTCTTTTCGCAACGCTGAATACTTCCGATGTTCGGGGCGCCTATAAAGATGCGGATATTTTGGGCGACTTCACCTGAACTTTTCAACAATAACATCTCGCGAAATTTCTTTCCGTCTCGGTCGTATCTTTGAAGTTGTAGTTTTCAACGCTGCTTGCACGACCTCTACCGGTCAATTTCGGTAGTAGCATTGTAAAATGGAGTGTTCTGTGAAGCGCGCACCAGAATTTTTAGATTATGTAAGAGCTCGACATTAATACTTAAAGTGAATTTTCGTTTTCTTTTTTAAATGCATGCATGCAGGCAGTGGGTTATGTGGGTATTCGTTATATGCATAGAAAACTGTAAATGGATAATGATGCTGTTTACATATAAGTTGATTTTGTTTTCTGCAATGTTTAACAAATTTCTTTTGTTCTTTTAAATTTCTGGATATTTGGTTGGAACTCTTAATACTTTGGTATACAAAAGAGTAACTTGCTAATCGTATACTTCATAATATAAGTAGATTTAATTATAGTATTTGTTGAGTTTCTATGGGACTGCAGTTTTACAAACTTCCTTATTGTTTTAAATATATTTAGCAATGGATGTTTCGGATGTTTTGTAGGAATTTTCAGTGCTTCCAGTATTTAGAAATATAACTTGATATCTCAACTTGGATTCTATCAATTTTTCATTTCTTCTTCAAATATGTTTAAATGAAGAATGTTTGAGGCATTTCCTTTGGGAAGCTTTAAGTTGTTTTCTTACGACTTAGAAACAAAGTATTAAACGAAAAAGAAACAGAATTTTATATAATAGTTAATGAAACTTTCCAGTAATGGTATTTTCTATGAAATGCTGACTTAAAAATTTGTATGCTGTTGATTCTTTAATATAACAAAGTTTGTCATATCCTGCTTTTATATTGCACAAATTTAAGCAAAGTTCATTTTAAAAATTTCTTTTAAAGCTTCATAATTACGTCAGAACTAAATGATGAAGATATCACTGGTGACATTTTTAAAAATACCTTTGTCCATAGTATTCTTGAAACCATGCTGACTTTTTTGCCGTATTTAATATCACTTTATTAGAGTCAACGACTAAACTAGTATCCGACTGGAATGCGATATCTGTTTAATTCGCACACAGAATTCTCATTAAACACACGAAATAAAAATCTGTGTCACCTTGATTGCGTCTTTATCAAGATGTAGTTGCACCTCGTGTGTAATACACCGCAATACACGGTGATTCAAACCACACCGGCATAAATTTAAGACGTCGTAAAACATGATAACGTCTTCACGAACCGGTGCCATATAATAAAATCGCGCAGTTCGCAATATTGAAATAGGTGTCCGGACGCTTGGAAATGGGCGATCTGTCGTCATTTACCACATTCAGACACACAATTCTTGCTTTGAAACCACATTATTACCTATCAAGAGAACAGAATTATTATTATCGTCGTTTTCGCGGTTACCTATTTTCATCATTATTATTTTCCCATAAAACGGATCGGAGAATGCGAACAATCGATTCGCGTATGACCCTGCATCATAAATAAATGTATCTCCAGCACGAGTTAACACTCGCGCATTCCTCAGAGCGACAATTCATTCATATTACTGAGAATGTATTTATGTTTTACATTATACGAATGGTATGTTTTTCCTCTACCAATTGCGATATCACAACTGGCAAACACAGCTGTGCTAATAAGAGTTGTTTGTAATTGTAAAAAGACGTTCCTTTTCATCTCCCTTCTAATTACCTTACAACATATATTTCTCGAAAATATAACAATTCTTTTTATCAATTTTGATAAAATCCACTTTTTAAGAAACATTTAACATTTTCAAGACTAACAATAAGATCTTTAAAATTTCAAAGAGAGATTCTTTCAAATACAATAATAAAATTTTGAAAAGAGTTATAATACCTCTCCGCACATAAATATTTTAATTAACACTAAAACTCTGTCGGTTTCCGATCGTTTCTTCCACAGTTGCTAAAACGATAAAAAGAGCTTGGTAAATTTAATATTAACGTTAAGCATAGAGCAAACATGGATGTCGCCAGCATCTTTCTTGCGAGAATTTCCGAAGGACACGCTAGAATCAAATAAAACCTAATCCCTGCGGACGTCTACTTAGCTTTTCGCGGAACTGGCAGAAAATCGGCGTGAAATCTGGGCGCTCGGTGTCCGTAGGCAACCCGGCTGCGAGAACATTGCAGCTTGCATCTCGTCGAGCGGATGCTGCACCGTCATGCGAATAGTTATGTACACACGGCATTATCACGCGTTTCATTACGGCCGGAACTATCGCGACAGCGATATTCGGGCGTCTTTCGAGCGTGCACACCTGCCCCATTAATCTCGCGTCCTCGGAAGGATCGTCGCGTTGCCCTGTTGAAAGTGCGAACCGCCCCGATGTGTCGAGTGCCATAAAACGGGGCCCTTAAAAGGGGCGCAGGCGGATGGTGGCCCAGGGTTCGCGCGTGATAAAGTGCTGGAAACCCGCCGGTCTTCTGCGTGTACGTGGCCAGATCGTTTAAAATTACTAATTCTCGGTTATGGCGCGATAAGAACGTTAATTGCCATCGAAGGGAGCTACGAGGCGCCCCTCTTCTTCTTCTTCTTCGTCTTCTTCTCCTTCTTCATCTGACCCCCTTCTCAGTTTCCGTACACGATTTTCCTGGCATTCTGAATTCTGTTATCTCACGGCCCTCTGTTTGCCTGATAATAAGCGACACGAATTTGATTAAACGTTAACACGCTCCGCGCGAGTGCTAACAGACCGTTCTCAACGGCCGCGTCACACGCGAAGACATTGTCTGAAAAAGAGGTGTTGACACAGTCCCGCGAGCCTCTCACGGCGTCAACGTTCATTGTTCGTTAAACCAAACCGCCTTTATTATTATCACCGTTGGCGGTTCCTTGATCGATTGATAGTGGCCCCGTATTGTTGGCGGCGAACCGTTGCGGCGAATATGTTCAGGGTTCTAGGTTGCTTTACATGAAGTTGGAGCGTAGACCGGAAGTCTTGTTAATCAGTCGGACTTTTATGCAATATTTACAGTTTCCCGCTGGTTAATCGCTTGCCGTACTTCGATGAGTCAAAGCTCGTGATAGAAATTTCAAGCAATAATCTGATAATCTGAGAGAAGGCATTTAGCTGAAAACCAAGTATGTACTAGTAACTTTTCGGATAAAATTTTGGAAATATATTTTTTTATAGCTTTGTTTATGCCGAATCGAATTATGTAGAAATTAATTTTCTAATTTATATTTTTGTTATTAAAAAAGATTATTCTTTTGTGAAGAAATTATCGGATTGAAAAATCGATAGACGATTTTTTTTTCGATATCATGTATACAAACCGCGGTAAAAATTTCAGCTTGAAAACTTCATTTTTGTTCGAGTTCTATTAATTTTGACATTATTTTCTGAATTGAACTTCTGGATCTCATGGAACTTTTCTGGAACTTCTGGAACATCTGGAACTTCTGGAACTTTTCTGGAACTTCTAGTACTTTTCTGGAACTTCTGAAACTTCTGGAACTTTTCAATCTGATAATTTTTTCACGAAAAAGTAATTTCGATTCGAAATTTTATCTGAAAACTTATTAGTAGGTACATACTAAGTTTTTCATATCATCAACATTTAAGCATTCGAATAAGTGTAGACACTCGATAAATACAAATTGTTTTCTTCTAAGAAATGATTACAATCGAAGAAGCGCAAATCGCGAAGACAATGGTACAGCAATGAGTTAATCATTTTCTTACTTGATGTATCGGTACCCTTCAATTCTTTTCGTCTTTCTATTGTTTCGAGCTGCAGTTCCTAAAAGTCCATAAAATCCATAGTCTAATAGATTTCGATGTTCTAGGTAATTTGTTATACACGAACTTCATTAGAGGAGTACGCTATACACAAGTGACGTCATTTGTTAGCAGTCAAAGCAAAAGCTCGTCAAGCAATTCTTTTTCCCCCGCGGCGTTGCTAGCCACGTTCTTCAGCATTTTGGGAAAGCTACTCCCGACTAGGGGAGAGTCCTAGATAATTGATGGGGCTGGTGACGATAAGATCACGGAGCAGCTTCATTTAATCCGGGGTACCAGCATCAAAGATTCAATTGACAATACCGGTGACGCTAATAATTTATTTACTAGGGCACTAAAGCATATTACTACTAGCTATAACATATTTCCCCATTTATCACGCTGTTTGCCTTTATAATTCAAAACAATTATTACTCCGTTAACCATGCGTGAAATACAATCCCTGATCAAACGACCTGAGCTTGACACCAAAGGGAAACATACTGATGCAAAGCTTGCCTAGAGTTATACTTCAGCTCTTACCTTATCGAACAACATATATAGTAACACTATCAGAGAGAACACTAACCCCAGTGTCTGGCATCAAATTCAACCGAAAATATGTTAAAACATACAAACAATCGCCCAATTCTTATCGCAGAGCGTCGCAACGATTTCTAAAATTTCCGAGCAAACCCAATAAACAAGCTCGGCCCGGTTCGTCCCGAAAATTCTCCTTGGGATCCCGAGAGACCCGTGGCAGATTCGATGAAGGCAGAGGCGTAAAGCTTATCCACGAGTCCTCGAGCAACGTCAGTAGTCTCGAGTGTCTTTCTCTTATTTAGAAAAACACACCTCCGCGAGGGCGCGCCC